AATAAATGGGACCTCATGAAACTGAAAAGCTTCTGTAAAGCAAAGGACACCGGCATCAAAACAAAGTGACTGCCTACAGATTGGAAAAGAATCTTCACCAACCCTTTATCTGACAGAGGACTCATATCCAGTATATATAAAGAACTAAAGAGGCTGAAAAGCAGCAAACCAAGTAATCCACTTAAAAAATGGGGAACAGAGCTAAAGAGAGAATTCTCTGTAGAAGAATATCGAATGGCAGAGAAGCACTTAAAGAAATGCTCAACCTCATTAGCCATTAGGGAGATGCAAATCAAAACAACCCTGAGATTTCACCTTACACCCGTCAGAATGGCCAAGATGAAAAACTCAAGTGACAACACATGCTGTGGAGGCTGTGGAGAAAGGGGAACCCTTCTCCACTGCTGGTGGGAATGTAAACTTGTACAACCACTCTGGAAATCAATCTGGCGCTTTCTCAGACAACTAGGAATAGCGCTTCCTCAAGATCCAGCCATACCACTCCTAGGCATATACCCAAAAGAGGCGCAAGTACACAAAAAGGACATTTGCTCAACCATGTTTGTAGCAGCTTTATTTGTAATAGCCAGAAGCTGGAAAGAGCCCAGATGCCCCTCAACTGAAGAATGGATGCAGAAACTGTGGTACATCTATACAATGGAGTATTACTCAGCAATGAAAAATAAGGAAATCATGAAATTTGCAGGTAAATGGTGGGACCTGGAAAGGATCATCCTGAGTGAGCTGTCCCAGAAGCAAAACGACACACACAGTATATACTTACTCATATAAACATACAACATAGGATAAACCCACTAAAATCTGTACATCTAAACAAACTAAGCAGAAGAGAGGAGCCTAACTAAAATGCTCAATCCCCATCCTGAAAGGCAAAGAGGATGGACATCAGAAAAAAGAAGAAAACAGGAAACAACCTAGGAACATGCTACAGAGGGCCTCTGAAAGCCAGAAAAAGAAAACAGGAAACAACCTAGGAACCTGCCACAGAGGGCCCCTGAAAGCCTCTGCCCTGCAGACTATCAAAGCAGATGCTGAGCCTGATGGCCAACTGTCAGGCAGAGTGAATGGAATCTTACGTAAGAAGTGGGAAATAGCAAGAGCTGGAGAGGACAGGAACTCCACAAGGAGAGCAACAGAACAAGAAAATTTGAACATAGGGAACTTCCCAGAGACTTATACTCCAACCAAGGACTATTCGTGGAGATAACCTAGAACCCCTGCACAGATGTAGCCCATGGCTACAGTGTCCAAGTGGGTTACATAGTAATGGGAAGAGGGACTGCCTCTGACATAATCTGATTGGCCTGCTCTTTGATCACCTCCCCCTGAGTGGGGAGCAGCCTTACCAGGCCACAGAAGATGACAATGCAGCCACTCCTGATGTGATCTGATAGACTAAGATCAGAAGGAAGGAGAGGAGGACCTCCCCTATCAGTGGACTTGGGGAGGGGCATGCATGAAGAAGGGGGAGGGAGGGTGGGATCAGGAGGGGAGGAGGGAGGGGCTTATGGGGGAATACAAAATGAATAAAGTGTAATTAATAAAAGTTAAATAAAAAATTTAAAACAAAAACCCTGGCTGTTTTGTTTCCTTTTGTATTATAGTCTAAAAATAGAGTTATAAGAAGTCACACAGGGAGATGTATGGGTCAGCTCTAGACCAACCAATCAGAATGCGCAAATGGGAACTACCTATTTGAATGCACAGATTTGGCCGACACGAATGAAACATCATTGGATATCTAGTTCAAGTTGTCTTTCACTGCATTAAATATCTCCACGTCATTCATCATTGCGCTGTCTCTGATACACACAGGGACTGACATTTCTTGGGTTATTCCTCTTAACTGGTGCCATATTTTGGGGGCCGGAAGAGCGGTGTCTTTCCTCAAGCATCACAATCAAGGAAATCCTGACAGAACCCACTCCTCACCAGCCCTTTCAGTGTGTCTACTTATTCTAAATATATGGTTTACTTCCCCAGTTTTCACATGACCGTCAGTGACGCCACAGAGCACACCGAGAGCATGATGGGCAAGGTTCCCTGGAACCCAGAGAGGCATTTCTGGTGCAGTTCCAGCCAATGGATCAGGGCTGTGTCTTATCTGGAGTAACGGCCTCATGCCATCTGTACACACTGTTACGTAAGTCCTCCAACACCGAAATAAGAACAGTTATTTTTACATTTAATGTGATGCTCTCCTGAACAGATTTAATGCAAGCTTGAAATTTTAATCAGCCTCTTTGTGGGTTTTTGGATAGGTGTGGCCCCCATAGGGAATGACACTATTAGGAGGTGCGGTCTTGCTGGCGCAGGAGGAATTGTGTCACTGTGGGGCCGAGCTCTGAGGTCTCAGAAGCTCAAGCCAGTCTCTTCCTGCTGCCTGCCCGCCCTGCAGAACTCTCAGGCCTCTCCGGCACCATGTCTGCCTACAGACTACCATGTTTCCCACGATGATGAGAATGACTACGCCTCTGAACTGTGTGCCAGCCCCGATTAACTGCTTCCCTTTGTGAGAACTGCCATGGTCATGGTGTGTCTTCAGAGCAATAGGACACTGACTGAGACACTCTTAGAGATAACCTTATATTTAGTGTGTGTGTGTGTGTGTGTGTGTGTGTGTGTGTGTGTGCGCGCTGCACGCATGTATACAGGAACATGCCAAGGCACATGTATGTAGATGAGAGGGCAGTTTTCAGGAGTTGATTCTCGCCTTCCACCGTACACTTTCCAGGGACTGAACTCAGGCTTAGTGGCAAGTCAGGAGATGACTCAATGGCCACAATCTGTCTCTGAACATCCATGGTGTTTTGTTGACCAGAATCAGGTTTTTATTCCTCTAAAGAAGGATTCTTTTCTTAAAATGAAAAAGTAAACACAAGAAACAGCATCAAATGAATGTAGCACTATTCTGACAATTATTTTCTCTTATTATTCGCAGTCACTATTGACCGCTTGATCGGTTTACGCCTCTACTCTTCAACACTCTGTGCTACTTGTCCCGCCCTCCTTCATGATTCTCACATCCTCCCAGAGTAAAAGAAGTAAAGATTCAGAAGACCCAGACAGCTACCAGGTGACAGTGCAGTGATGGTCCAGGAAACACCCTCCACTGGGACACTTAAAACCTTGCTCCAGTCTCTGGCAAGCATACTAAAATGGCTCCAGCTTAATGTCAAAGAAAAACAACCATTTGTATTGTCTCACCCCAAGTCTATTAAGTAGTAATCTAAAAAAGCTGGATTTTTAAAGGCCCGTTGACAACCTTAAACATAAATGTCTGCAAATTAATTAAATATGTGGTGATAAAATAACATTTAAAAAATGGTTAAGCTGTTAATGTAAGGCAGAGTCAGGAGGAATAACCATGAGTTTAAGACCAGCCTGGACCACACAAATCAGTTCGCATCTGAACAGAACTACCTGTCAAGGACAGATGGAAGGAGAGAGAGAGAAGGAGGGAGAGAAAGACAGAAGGGGAGAGAGGAAGAGAGAGAACTCGGGTGTGAAGAAAAATGTGCATCTGATGAATTAATAGCTAAAATAAATAAGCATCTCAAATAATTAAAGATCAAACAGACAAATAACCCAGTTTAAAAGTCATAGGCCCTGACTCGGCAGTTCTTAAAGGACGCCACACAGACAGCTCACAGACGTGTGAATAAGGCCCTCTCTCACTAATAACCAAAGTAATGAAGACCACAGCCACGGTGAACTCTCACCCGCCACCTGTTTCTGTGAGTATGAAGTGCCACCTCATGCCGGTTACCATGGGTGTGACCTGCCTGCCACCTCACAGCTGTTGCCGTTGGTATGAACTCTCACCTCACGCCTGTTACTGTGCGTACGTGCAATCGGATGGAAGGGAATTGCAAGCAATGTTAGCAAGTAGAGCCAAAATGGGAAAGAGTAGGAAAACACCTCAAGAAATTCTAAATAGGATACCCTCTTTCCCCACAACCTCCCTTCTCACTAAGCATCCAAAGGAACTGAAAGCAGAATGCTGAAGAGATGCCAGCTTTCCTCTCAGCAGCAACATACAAATTCACCCTCAACATTGAAAGATGAACGGGTCTTATGTACACATGGAATATTATGCAACCTTTATTTCATGGGAAAAAGTCTTGCCTTCAGTGACAACATGAGTGAACTTGGAGAATACCAAGCTGAGTAAATAGGACTAGAACAGAAAAGTAAAGGTTGCGTAGTCTCACGTGATATCCAAACCCCTAGAGGTCTAGCGAGAAGTTATTCTGAGGCCTGGAAGGAGGACAGTTGGTGGACAGAAGGAGGAGATGCTCAGCAGTGGGTAGAGTTCTAGTGAGCCGCGTATTGCCTACTCGAACTTCTAACAATCAGTTTTAACATTCTCACCAAGAGCAAACAAGTATAAGAGGTGATAAGTATGTCCATTAGCTTGAGTTTATTCATTCCACAGAGCACACACACACACACTAAACATCACACTCAACCACAAAGACAGATCATTATTACTGATCAATCTATGAAAACTAAGGTCTTCCTTCTGCTGCACCCAGACTGCTTTTGTAGGACATCTATGCCCCTTCTTAAATTGACGCATGGACTAGAAGAAGCTGACCCTTTACTGAGATTGAATTTTCCTGTATACTCTCTGAAGAAAACACAAACATATGATCAGCACCTTCCTTTCAAATGCGTAATAGACAGTCTTGTTGCTGGCATCTAACAACACGAGAAGAAATGTTTTAAACACAGGAATGAATTTCTGATCAGTAACACATTCCCTTTAATAGAGACAAGCTACCACCCAGAGAATGCAGCAAACAAGACAGCAGAGCTTTCAACAGTTCACTGATAACACTGGCCATGAAATATGCACAGCACTTCTGCCGTTGGAGCTGAGGCTATAAAGGGCATTCTTTGCCAACTGAGCCGTGATTAACATTTCAGCGCAAAGGTCTCCCAGAGTCACTCTGGATTTATAGAATTGCCCTTACCAGCATTTTGTCTGAAGCTGTGTTTTGTGGAAGAGGAGATGTTCCAGCACTTTATTGAGCTGAGAAGGACTGTTCTGAAGGCAGGACCAGGCAGCCACAGAGTGCCACAGCAGGTGGTTGACCTCATAGCCCGGCTCATTCAGCTCCAAGTGCTTCTGAAATTACAAGATGGAGGTAGAGCTGCCAAACAGTTCTTTGACTTGCACAGACTTGAAAATACACTTTAAATACACAGATCAAAATGAGAATTTGTTTATGGTTCATGTTTTACTAAGGAGAAGCATTTCTAAGTATTTTTATATTGGGTATGTATAGTTATCTAAGCCTAATATTTACACAAAATTTTTACACAAATCCCTGTGTTCGATGAACAAGTCTATTATACGACAAAAATGCCAGCTCCTGTGATTTTGGATGCATCATCCTCAGACTCTGTGTGTCTCAACACCTGATCAAGAGGCAACAGGAAGAGCTTAAGCAAAGTTGGAGGAACAAACTGGGCTCTGAAATGTAAATTCCTCTGCATTAACAAGCAAAGACATGTCTTACAGGGCATGGCCAATGCTGTTAAGCAATTATTTTTAAAAGGCTACAAATTTAGATAGTTAAGAGGTTTTATCCTTTGTTTTCTCTAAGTGTTCCTGACAGCTTCATTAAATAATTGGTCTGCTGCAGAGAGCGGCATTTCATAACATAGCACTCTCATCTTCCACCCTCAACCCCGACCCCAAAGGTACACAGCCCACACCCCTCCCCCGACTGAAAGTACACACCCTGTTCTGCGTACTTGGATCACTGGCAGTTCATATTCCATACTATTAATAAATACTTTAAGTCTAAATGGCCTCTTTGGCCTCAATTATTATAGAAAATATCACAACTAAAATCTAAAGATAGTTTTCATGTTGTGTCCTCTACAAAAGCTGGAGGTTTATACACAATTTCAAATAAAAACCTCTCAAGTTTCTAGTAAGCTGTTTAGTTATATTCTTTGGGTGTTTGTTGGTTCTTTTCATGTCTGGGATCGTTACAAGCTGGAGAAAACACCCGAGTCAGGGTCTACACGAGCTTCCTGGCCCTGGGAGTGGCATTTCAGAAAAGGGACCACAAACGAAGCCATGTCTGGGTGTTTACAATGTCCCCCAGGGAAGCCGTCTTCTGAGATAGCGCGAGGCACTGGGCCGAGACGCGCCCACTTTGGTAAATGCACACATAACTCGATTTTCTGCCTCGTGGTGGAGCCCATTCAAAACGTAAAAGCCGTAGAAATGAAATTGTCTCAATAGCGCTCTGTGTCTCTCCCTGCGTGTCTGATGGCCTTCAGACGATCATAAACAGGGAGATAGGTCTGTCTTAAATTTCTGAGATGGCCTGACAAATTAAGGTAAAACAACACTTTTCTAGATACCATATGGCTGCAGAGACTATTAAGTGAGGGGAATAAATACATGTGCTGGAAGATGAAATGAAAACATTAGTGGGTAGGTTGTGTGACCAAAACCCACGATCCAAGGACCTAGTACAGAGAGGCTGAAACCGGAGGATGGCAAACTTGAAGCTACCTTTGGGAAATTTTAGGGAGATACTGGCTCAAAATGACAAAGCATTAAAACAGTGAGGATTATGAACAAGATCTGTGCTTTACTTCAATTTTACCTTCGGCTGTTAGCAGCTGATATGACATCACTTAGTGCAGAATTTGTCTGCTAATAGAGGCAAACTGATCTGCTGGACACAAGCATAACCCACATGCCTCAGGTATTACTCCAAGACGACGATTTTTTTGTAAAAGCCATTTAATAATATTTATTCTTTAGACAGACAGAAACGAAGCCACCGTATCACCCACAAAATACCCAGGTGTAGAATCAGCCCTACTTTTAAATAGGGAAATCTCAAGGGAACTCCTGCTTCCTGGGGTTCCCCTTGATCTCCCCAGGTCCAAACACTGTAAAAAAAAAAAAAAAAATGACCTGAGCAGTCTCCTGCTGAAACACTGCACAGCTCCTCCTAGCAGCTCAGCCCCCCTCTCCTCCTCTCTCCCTCCACCAAGGAACAAACCCCATTGTCTCTGCGCCTCCTCTTGCTTGACCTTTGGCTTGATGGCCTTGGCATTCTCAAAAGGAAAAAATTAATGTAATCATGGTAATCACATGGCTCAACCCTGTTGTCACGGGCCAAGAGAGAGCAGCCCTGACAGTTACCATGTGCTGCGGACCAGTCCCCTGTCTTTACTCTGAGTCATCTAATGTGGTTGGGAGATGAACGCTGCCCGCCCCAGCCCCTGTCAGCAAGAGCTCGGAGGTGAGTATATTCCCTGTGTGTCTTTTCCCCCTGAAAGGGGAGCAGCCTTACCAGGCCACAGAGGAGGACACTGCAGCCATTCCTGATGAGACCTGTTAGACTAGGATCAGAAGGAAGGAGAGGAAGACCTCCCCTATCAGTGGACTTGGGGAGGGGCATGTGTGGAGAAGGGGGAGGGAAAGTAGGATTAGGAGGGGAGGAAAGAGGGAGCCATGGGGGGGGATACAAAGTGAATAAAGTGTAATTAATTAAAATTAAAATACAAAATGGAAAGAAGGAAAAAAGAGCACGGAGGTGACTCCACAGCATCGCAGCACTCTGGCAGAACAGTTGTGCACGTGTTCAGTCTAATAAAAATCACGGCATGATCTACTTGTTGTCTATAATTCCTTACTATTTCACTCTGTAAACTGTCGAGCTGTGGTGCCTTTGAAAGAGAAAAGGGCTGGGGCCGGGAGGCTGTTCAGCCAGGCAGGCAGCTGTTCCATAGGACTAAGAACCGGAGTTTGGACCCTCAACACTGACAAGGAAACTAGGCATAATGGCGCCTGTCGGGGTCCACAGTGCTGGGCTAGACAGAGGCAAGACCAAGATACCAGGTATATCCACCCACAGGTAGACACACACTTCCATATGCATGTATGCAAACATACAAAAAGGGGGGGTTGAGAGTGACTTTTACTGGATGATCATTTGATAAGCATGGAGCACAGAATTAATTCCGTGACTTGAGAGAATACTTTGTCTATTTTTCTGCCTGCCTGCCACCGTTCCTCTTTTTTTCTTCTTTTTTTTTTCTACTCCTTTTTCTTTCACTACTTCCTCTGATTCCTCCAGCTCGCTCCCTGGCTGCCCAGCCTTGGACTGGCATCCGCAGCTTCCTGTGACTGCTGTCAGAAGCCCTCCTACCAAAGCGCTGCTGGTTTGCCGGGAATTCAGATAACTGCCTCACCTTGGCCTTCATGGGAATATGAGTGCATTTCCGCTGAGTGACTCCTCAGGCTCTTTTACAACAGAGATGGGCTTGGAGGTGTGGGTCTGTTGTGACTGCTCAGATGTAATGTTCTGAGAGCTCCATCCTGTTTTCAGAGACTTAAGGAATTAGGGACATGGCCATGAAAAAAAAAAAAAAACAAAACAAAACAAAAAAAACTCAACATAAATGTGTTAGTCAAACAGCAACATGAATGACTGGATAATGCTCCTAATTTCAAAGGGCAGTTGTCTCCTCGCAGTTCTGTTCTTAGCCTCCGTTAGGAACTGACAGACATATGCTCACAGGACAACAGTGTCTCCGATTTTGATCGTGTCTCTCTGCTTCTTGAGTATGTGGAATGTGAGAAGATAGACTGCTAATCACGTCAGAATATAAAATTAGTGTATCTGCTACTTTTCAGGAAACTATTTGTACTTCAGCTAATACTATTTAATAAAGGGTCTACTCCACTTGAGCTGAGTTTAAAGTATTCTCCAAAGGACTATGTTGTTATTATGATGTGACAACTGTGCTTAGAAAACTCAGCTCTGCTGCTGAGCAAAGGACGGAGTGGGAAATTCAATCCTGCAATTGGGCTCTGCAATCGCAAAGCTACTGGAAGGGTACCACTTGTCAAAGTCGGTGGGAACGATGGCTCTGGATCACTTAAAAGAACATTAAAAGAAGAAACTGCGGCCAGTGTCAAGGAAAGGAAGTTTCCTGCTTTTAGGTAAAACCAAAAATCTTCATTGTGTGCCTTATTCCAGGTAAATTCTACAGGGTTTTTAAAGCAATTCTAGCATTGGTTGTACAAGAAATTCAGCAACTGCTCTTACTTCATTTCTACAAGCGTTAAACATAAGGTATTTTACAATGGCCGACATCGGCTGTGGGTGAACTTTTCAGTATAATCAGAGGATAAGGGATGATGGATAGATCAGTAAATCCTGGAATACACTGTAGCATCCATAAGGGCAGGAGGAAAAATGGCCTCTACAGCAGCTTTTACATTCTATTATCTCTTCTTTTCCCACTCTCATTCCCCACAGTAAGAAATGAAATGGGTATTGAATGGGCAGATGCTCAACTGAACTGGAGAGGCTGGCTCAGAAAAGCCACACTGGAGAGATTGGGTAGAATCTAGGGAACTTCAGGGCTTGCAATCACGCCATAAATCAGTGCTGATTAGACGAGGGTGATTTAGGAGCAATGTGGCTCCTCTATCCTTTATAGTCTTTATATTATGAAGTAATTGGAGAAGAAAAAGAAAGGCAATAAACCTGACAGCCCCAAATGTGTTATAGTCCCCTCAGAGAACCACACGAATGGAGCTGAAATAGAATTTAGGTCCTTTGTTCTACAAAGTGGAAAATGCTCAGTGAGTGAGCGTGTCGCTCAGGGCAGACGGCAGACGTGTTCATTCCAGGAGTGGTTGGCTTTGCCCCTGACTCAGTGACTCTCCAAAGACCTGTTCATTCCAGGAGCTGTAGCTTTGCCCCTGACTCAGTGACTGTGCATGTCAGTCTCCGCAGACCTGTTCATTCCAGGAGCGGCCGGCTTTGCCCCTTCCAGCAGCAAGCAGGCTTCCGCTGCTTCCAAAGGTGGAAACAGATTCGTTCTTCCAGAGCACAAGCCTGGAAGCTAACAGTAGCCTCCCCTGAGCCAGGGCATGGTGTGGCCAAGACTGTACAGCATTGTCTTTAGGGATACAACGCTCAGCTCACTGTCCTCCAGTGTAGCCATATTCCCCTCTGAAAGTCATTGGGAGCTGTCTAGGTTAAGGTGAATACGTAAATACAGTTTCAGTTACTAACGCCTATGTTTTTATAGCATTTCATCTACAAACTACAGTTTAATTTCTTCTGTTATGGCAGCTGCAGTCGTGATGGTGGTGGTGGTGACCATGATCGTGAAAATGAGCAAAGTAGGTTTTTTTACAGATGAGCAAATGGAGGCATAAGCAAGTTAAACAGGCCTCCCTAGAGTACACAGGCGCTGTCAAGCAGCTCAGTACTCTGCAGGATCAAAGTGCTTTCTGCAGCTCAGTATCTTATCTGAAGTATGTTTGTCCTCAGAACACATTTCAAACTTTGGAACAATTGCTGCTTTTCACACGGCACAATTTGCATTCGTTACTAATTATAACCAAATGGTTCAGATCATCTAGCAAACACCACTCGTTATATCGATGGTTTATCACTAATGAGCCAAGAGACAGATACTTAAGCGTAAAAGTTATAAACCCGCACGATAAGATGTATTTTCTCACCTGTTAAAACTTACGGTTTTAAGGACACTAACGGGAACACGGGGAGTCCATGAGCGCCACACATAAATGAGGCGATTTGGGGAAGGGATTTTCACACGTGTCCTTACGTTATGTTAAAGGTATTGTTCAGGCCGGGGAGAAGGCTCAGTGGGTGAAACGCTCCCACAGAAGCATGGCAACTGCTGTGTCCGCCCATAGCACACACATAGCTGGGCCGCTTGGGCAACACGCCTGTAACCCTAGCTCTCTGGAGGCGGAAGTGGGGGCAAGCTGGCTAGCGAGGCCAGCCAGGGGGAATGGAGCATCTCCGGGTTCAAGGAAAGACTTTGCCTCGGTACAGAGGCAACAGAGAAATCAAAGAAGGTTCTAGCATCTACCTTTGGCCTCACATGCATACAGACACACATGCATGCACATTACACGTATGTAAGCCCACACACACGAAAACAAGGATAATAATATGTGCACGCATACCATACACACAAGCAAAAAAACATGGGTTTTTTTCGAAAAAAATTAAAAAGAACAAATTTTCTGTTTATAAATTATAACAATTAAAATAATGAAAAAAAATCCCTGTTTCTTAGTATTCACATTATTTTTCAGAAAATATTTGAGTAAAGGAAATAGATTATTACCAAAGAGACTGAAGTTTGTCCTTGGGAAAACATCTGTGTTATGCACAATTACATGGCTCATTGGACTTGTGTTTGCATAATCATTGCTTATTGAATAAGTTTATTATTAATATAAGCAAGAAAAATTTAACTTCATGTACTAGAATTATTTCAGTCTCTCAATTTGAATTTTTGGGGAGGGGAGCCTCACTTGTCGCCCTGACTGGCTTTAAACTCCGTAGGCAAAGCTGGCCTTGAACTCCCAGATACCTGCCTGCTTCTGTTTCCTTGGTGCTGAGATTAAAGCCATGCACCACCATGCCTGGCCAGTTGAGCACTGGGAAGTTTTTGGTTGGCTTCAATAGCATAGTAAACATTATTTCACACAAAACATGGAGAACATGGCATATTACATTTGTCTGAATGACCAGTCTATACAACCTTCCCCTTAATGAGAGAAAATATGCTAAAAGGTTAACTTATGAACCTAAGTTACACCATTATTTGTTCCTAAGTGGGTGGGGGAACCTTTGTGGCAGAGATATCATGCCATTGGGCCTCTCAAAGAAGTAACAGATCATATCGATGACCCATTCCTCATGTAGCAATCTATGATCCAAGAGTTGTTCCAGAGCAAGACTATAGGCTAGTCAGCCCTCCCACCCCACCTCCCCAGCTAAGCTCAGCTTCCGCAGGGCATGCTGGGTGGATGAGGAGTACATAATCATAGCAATCTTGTCTCACAGATCCGTGACAAGGCATGCCCACCTGTTTACCTACCAAATCGGAGTACGCGTCCTCCCCTCCATTTTCACTTCCCACATCTTTTTCAGAATGGAGTTCTCTTTTACACATAATCTCCGACGTTTTCAGGATGAACTGCACATCTGAGAAGATGTTTGGATACTTGCTGTAGGACGCATCCGAGAAATAAAGCGCTGTCGGGAGAAAACCCGTTGGCGAGGAGTGTTTCGTTACTGTCTCGCACTGTGCCCCATTTGTCTCTTAGTTACTAAAGTATAATTAAATGCAAAACTTCCTCCCGTTGTGCATTGCTCCATCCAGTTAAAAATCTGCCATGGTATGTGTGTCCTCTGGTGGTAAGGAAGAAAACTGCATCTCAGGCAAATGGCGGCGTTGGAGTTTTTGTAATCCAGAAGAGCTTTGTGTGAGAGTTGGAGGTGCACCCGCCCCACGGCTGCTCTCCCGCTCTCAGCGGCCACTCATTAAGGCATCCCTTCATCTAGGGGCAGGGCTCTGTGAGTGGTGGTCAGCCCTAAACGCACACACACGCGAGCACTAAATGGACTCAGCGTGCTCTGCTCACAGGTACACAGGCACATGGATATAATTAAAGAGGAGGGCGTGAGGTTGAAAAGAGGTCGGGAGACCTGGCCGGGGAGAACACAAGGGAAATGAGGTAAGGGCAGTACTCACTATGAAATCCTCAAAAATGTTAAATTGAACCATAAGTATGGTTCAACGTGCTATGTATGTTAGGTAATATTAATTGCTCATTGTCTGTGGTATATATACATATACGGCTACTCTTCAGTTTTCTCCAGGCCTGGGCTCTCTGGTAGGTTAACCTGTCTCAAGTGATCAGGCACATTTACATATGAGCAACGCTAATGGACTCAGTGGGTTTCACGCTGTGAGACACCCCACCACACCCTCAGGTATTTTTAGCTATATTAACCGCCTATATCCTACACTTCGCTTTTTCCACAACTTTCAAATTCACTGTTCCGTTTTTCCAAATCTTGACCACATGGGTCAGTATCTAAAACGTCAGCCCCCTCCTGATCCCTCACTTGTACACTCGAAGCCTAGAGCCAGTTAACTAACAGTGGCTTTTTTCCTTCTAAATGTTTTAAAACTATGTGGTCCTGGTATTCCCCAATATGATCATTAATGTTCTCAAGATCCTCCACAATTCCTTCTTCCCAGTGTCGAAGTGAATGCATATTACAGCATGTTGGGTTGCAGTGCCAATGACATTTCTTCTCTGGGTACCAATCAGAACAGTTTAAAGGACACTGCTGGATGTAGAGCTGAAACATTCTGCTATACATCCACACTGAGATGGCCTCCAGACTCATCTTCTCCTTATCCCAGCCCAGCACCGACACTGCCAATACATCTACTTTAAAATAGCAACTTCGTCGCTTTATAATTTGGTTTGGTGACTATTATTACAGATGAGTAAACTGAGCCTCAGTAACACTCATTCACTTTGTTAGAAAATAAATAGCTGTTCACACAAGGCTGAAGGGGGATGCGAAGGTGCAGGGAGGGAGAGGGAGGGGAGGAGAAGGCATGGAGAGAGGGATGGGAAGGAGGATGGGACAGAGGGAAGAGAGAGCAAGGGGGAGAGGGATGGGGAGGAGAGGGGGAGAGGTACCTCTGGGGGAGAGACATAGGGAAAGGAAGGAGGACTGAGAAGGGAAAGGGGAGAGGGAAGAGAGGGGAAGAGGAGAGGGGAAGGAAAAGAGAGGCAGAGGGGGCTGAGACAGGGGAGGGGGGTGATAGTTCCAGTCAATGTTATATCCTGTCATCTATGGCACAGGTGATAACTGCAGTTCATAAGAATGTAGGTTTCCTTCAGATTGTAAAGAGACTAAATTTTTAAATGTTCTCACCACAAGAGACTCTAAGTTTCTGAAGGAAAACAAGTACTGAAGAAACACTGCCTGGCCCAGGAGCCATCGTTGGTGGTATTGCTTTTCGTGAAACATAAAACAACTTACGTTCTTTATAGCGACAGTCTGAGAATCTTAAAATGTAGCATAAAACATTTATAAGCATAAAAATAAAAAAATATTTTACCGTATAAATATGGTTGCAGCCTAATTAACTGTTGTCTAAAACTTTCTAAGTGACCATGCAGGAAAAATACAAAAAGTCGTAAGAAGATCAAATAGCCAATCTGTCAAGAGAGAAAAGAGAAAAGCATTTTTGTATGGCACCAATAACTGCTTAAAAACCATAGAGAAGATAAACCATTTTATTATCACATTTACTTTTTGATAAAACAATTTCAAACTTGGTTGGTATTATGTGGTTCTGAAATAACTAAAAGCGTTTTTGTCAAGACTGAAACGCTAGTTCAACCGGGAGAAAAACTTGAATAAATCATCTCTACCCTTTTCCAAACGGGCCGTTCTGCATCCTTCAAGGCAACAATTGTTTTTCCAAATTGTAGATCATAGCCCTTACAAGTAACTCATGAAATGAACTGATGGGAAGTTATATAAAAATAAGATACACGAAAAGAGAAAAACATCATGATACATTTCACAATTCCCTTTATTTCAGAGTGTGACAGGCTGTATATGATGTATGTGTAGATAACAGTACGCTATATATTTTTCTTCCTATGGCTTTTAACAAGAACAGTTTGAAGCACAGACTTGGGGAGTGCTGGAAAATATTCTGCTTCTTACAGCATGCTACACCGAGCACCCATCCCTCGTTAAGAAAAGCTCCATCGTGTCATCACAGTAAACACTGCAAACTCTTACTTCTGTGACCAAAAAAAAAAAAAATACATCTTTAGCTTAAAATGGGCAGTTTTGCATAAGCTATGGAAAATGGAATATCTGCAGAAACATCAGATTTTTTTCTAATGCGAAAAAAGTAAATTTAAAAAACAAATAGACTGCACTCTGTGTAAGTTATTAAATCAAGGAGCCACACAAAATGACAGGAATAATTGAGATTAAGTTTTCACGTAAGGAAAATCAAATACTTTGTCAGTGCTGCAAAATATTAACTGGGATATATGTGAAAATACAGCAAAATAGTTGAAATGCAAATGCAGATTCAGGTAAGTCCCAAATGCTTCACCCAGCTATGCTTAAGGAAGAAGAAATGCTGTTACAGGAACTTGAAGCTTTGATGGTCTTTTTCCAGATCCACCCCCTTTCAAGTTAACCCTGATTTTCCACTAGCTCTCTTGTCTTTACCAGAAACCTTTGTTATTGAAGTTGATTTAATGAAGAGCAACAGGTATTTAGAAATATTTCTAAAACTTAGGAACACCAGCCCTTTAGACCTACGCATAAAAATAGAGTGTCCGTGGCAGCGTATGTGAGTGTGATGGTCTCGTCACACAGCTGACTCTCAAAGAAAGGGATGACTTTCCAAGAAAGGGACAAGGAAGTAGAAATCTACATGCTTGTAGCACACGACAATGTCTGATGAAGTGCCAACAGGTACCAGCACCCGTGATTAAAGATGAAGGCTAAAAACAACCTAGTGTAGGGGGGTAGGTAAGATTTTCTAAAAGGTTGGTGATTTTCGTTGAAAGGAATCAATCATATTCATGCCTTATTCATCGTCAGCGTCACCTGACCCACAGGCTGCCCTTAGTCACCACCAAAAGGCAAAACAAAAAAGCAAAACCAAGCTTAAGTTTTGCTCGTGATATTCTAAAGGCCACTTGTCCACTTGTCGGTATTGGAAACTGTCCCTCTCCCTATCTCTCAGGCTTCCGTGGCATCTCTGCAGTGTCGACATTTTCTCTCTGTAGCCTGACAACTCAGGCTTTGCTCACACATGCGTCTCTGCTTCCAAAATGTCCTTTTCTCTCCTGCCCCCCTCCTCAACCTTTGCTTCTTCCTCGCTTTAATTCCCACCTGTTCTCTCATTTCCCTGATGCCTCTGTGAGATTAATGCTACACAGGGACTGTCTTGTTTTGTATTTTCATATTTATGTAGAAGCTCTTTACAGTTTTGTACCCCACACACTCCCCAAACTGGTGGGTTTTTTGGTTTTTGTTTTTATTCATTTATATCCTAATCATAGCACCCTCCCTCCTCTTACCCTGGTCCCATCCTCCCTCCTTCCTCCCCCCCATCCTCCCCCCCCACACCCTCAGAAAAGGGGAACCCACACACCCCCAACACCTACCCATCCCAGCACATCAAGTCGTATTTTGTTCTCTATACTCTCAGAAGAATGCTTCAATAATTAAGATTCTACATGTAGAAAACAAATCAAAACTGCGCACAAAATCTGGAATTGGGACAATGCTCAGGAATCATACATTATTTAATCAGGCCTTAATTGTTTCATTAAATGATGAACCTAATGGTGAAGACTGAGGTGGGGAATCCTGCTGCCCTAGCATTACAGGCCAACTTAGGGAAAGCTGCTCCTTTCTAACCAAAAGATGCTCGCCATTTCTGCGTGGTAACATGCCTCTCCCTTTAAGACTTCAATGCACTTAGAATGGCCAGACAGCCCCTCCGGAAGACTAGTTCACCTCAAGCCCTGCTGAGGAAATCGGAGGAATGATTATCCTCCAGTGGGATACTGTGTTTTCCTTCCCAGAACCCCATCCCTCCAGAACAGTTGCTACAATGTGAAGTCGTGTTGGAGCTGTCTCTTTCCTTCTGGTGCAGTCCACAGGTAAGGTACCCTTTTTCTAGGACTCAGGCTTCCTTTCTCTCTACAGCTCCTCTCCTCGTCTGGTGGCTGCTTGGCCACCAATTGGCTGTCCTCATGCCAACTTAACTCAAACACCATGGCTTTTTCTTTCTCTTCGCTATGTCCCCACGTACAGGAAGCTGCTGAGGCTGGCAGCTGGCCTGGCCTGCGGCTTTTCTTTTAACGTCCAATAAAGTTGCCCTTGAGCTTCTGTTTGAGCCCACTCTTAAACTCTTTCATTAATGAGACTAGGAATTCCAAGGGGGGAGCCCAAGTTCCCTGTGAACACGCAGATTTTTCCAGCTCTGTCTCAGGAAGTGCTATGTCCAGAAATGACGGTCAGTGCTTGGGTTTGAACCCGGGACCTCCGGACATAAAGTCTGATGCTTTACTAACTGGGTCACCCACTGGACTGTAAAAGGACTTCCGGGGCTTAGATGAAAGCCAGCATCTTTTCAGGAACTGCTGAAATGGGCTCTCTTCCACAAAAAGGAGTCATCTCCTTGGGTCTGGCAGGAAGGGGGGCCTCGGACCTCAGGCCCAGTGTCTGCCTAGGCTGTCGGAAGCTTTGGCGTTGAAATGGCCAGTTATTTAAACTCTCCGCGACACAGCCTCTCCGCCTGGGTTCCAAACGGAGGCGGCCACGGCCCATGCGGCCTGAGACAGACAGTCAGAGCGGCCCAGGCTGACACTTCCGTCACTGCGCAGCGCACACAGGCGCGCGAGGAGCGCTCACAGCGGCTGCAGGAACCTGTGCGTAAACGCTGCGGAGGGATGGCGCCGAGTTCCAGCATCCAGCATCGCTGTCGCGGAAACTCGGGTAGCAGCAGGGAGCGAGGTCGCTAGCAGGGAGCGAGGCCGCTGGGGCAGCCCGGAGAGGGGGCCTGCTCCGCGCTGCCCACTTCCATCGCATCCCACCTCCTTCCTGGGCACGTGTGCAAGGGTTGCCTGCTTGAGCTCTGGTCTGATTTCACATTTTCTGTTGTAAATACAAGTATGTATTGGGAATATGTGTTGCAGTTTGGGAAACACAAAAGGGATTTTTTTTTTTAATCCCACCATACCTAGACAAGTTTTAACGTGTTAACCCTTTCCTTCTCTTCAGAATCCCAGGCCTTTGCTTGGGCAGTTTCTTTCCCGTTTTCTAACATTCTGCCTTATATTCCTAAAATTATCAGAAAGCTCCGAGGGTAGGGCCATGGGAGAAGATATAATTATCTCCCCAAAACCTCCTAGCAGTGGGTAGATTCAGGAATATTCTTTCATAACCAAAGCTGTAAAATACGTATTTCGCTCAGTCGGTTTCACTTGTTTTAAGACGTGCTGCAATCTTGAGGAAGTCTTTCTAAACTTGCTTTCCTTTTTGTAATACTAAAACCATTGTGTGAGCTTAATTTCTTCGCAGTAAATCGACACATTATTCTTAAAAGTGACTTTTGTGCTAATTTTCCCATCAGCTGTTGCTGTTGCAAACACTGGAAGCAAAGCGGCTGGCAGCTCCCCGCTACATGGCTCTGGAACGACAGGCGGCCACAGGGCCACTCGCCTCAGGCTGGCACGAAGGTTGCTCCTCAGAAGTTGTAACTAAAGGACACAGCATTTAAAGGTCCCTAAAAGAGTGGGCTGGAGAGAGAGGTCGGCGGTTAAGGGCCTGTGCTGCTCCTACAGAGGACAAGGGTTCAGCTCCCGGCGCCCACGCGGAGGGTCACAGATACACACTGTAACTACACTTCCAGGCAGTCTGTTCTCTGAGGGCACTACACACACACAGAGCCACAGACACACACATCACATCACACAGAGACACAGACACACACACTTACACATACAGTCACAGACACACACACATACACACACATACAGTCATAGACACACACTCATATACACACAGATACACACACACACACAGAGTCATATACACACACTCACATACACTCATACACACACGCTCACACAATCATACTCACACACACAGACACACTCACTCTCATACACGTACATTCACATACACACATGCAGAGTACATAGACACATGAGAGCAAAAGACCCCTACGTAGAAAATTTGATAAATCCTTTCTTTTTAATCCTTAAAGCTACGCATGCTTAGCAGGACAGTACGAGGACCTTTAAATGATGATATCCTTACACAGTTTCTGAAATCCTATTTCCTCCAACTACTGCAGCTTGGCTATCAAGCGGCAATCTGCTGGTCACACTCAAAGATTACCCAATGACCCTTGCTAGGTGCCAGCGTCTTGTCTGATCCCAGAGCAGGCAGTTTCCTCTCCCGTGCCCGTAGCAATTGAGATACTTCTTAAAACTTAAAACATACCTTTACCAGCCTTATCTCAACTGAATATAAAAAATTCTTCATGAACGCGTCACAGCACAGTCGATATAAAACTGACTCGGCAAGAAAAAACAGGGCAGGAAGCTGATCGAAGTCAAAGGGAGCGTGGTCCAGGGAAGCTTGGAGCATATTTAAAGCCTCTGAAAAGTCAACAAAGTGAAATTCCATCACCGGGAAATTAGCCTTGACTTTCTGCATATCACAATTCCATCTTGCCCTTCAGAACTTGTCCATCTTGGTACTCATAAACGCTTTCCGCTCTGCCTCGAACAGTGAGGCAGTGAGAAGCGCCTCGAACCTCAGCAGGCTCCCATCCACAGAACACAGGAAAATGACAGTGGGCGGTGTCCAAGGCCAAACCCCAATGGAAACTCAGCCTCTACCTAAGCCTCCGCCCGCACGCCTCCCCTGCCTCCCTCTCCCCATCTTCCTCTCCCCTTCTCCCAGACAGCAATGCATGCCGTTGGTTGGTGGTAAACCTCAAGCCCTCGCACCACAGACTCCATCAAACATAGGACAGAGGTGGAAAGCGCTGAAATGCGGGGCCGTAAAAACAAGTTAAGTACAGAACATTTCCCCTTCTCCTAGTACTTGAGCTCTCAGACCGCCTTACAATTCCCAATTTACATGGGAAACATCCTCTGACCTTTGCAGTTAACGTCCCCAAACCCGTATCATAAGGCACACACATAACACTTAGTTTAACGAGAGAAGGAATTTTATCCCCTTAAAAGTAATGTGATTTAATTTCCCTTTTAGATTGGTTAGAAGTTGCTCGAAAGAAGCCGTGTAAGTGAGAAGCAATAAGTGAAAAGGTAAACGTTTTAGAACAGGAAGGAAGACAGCCTGGCCAGCGGTCCTCTGCCTCATGTTTTCTAAGTGAGAATATCAAGTGCAAACACACTTTTATGCAATTGCCTACTGCAGATGGACTCACTCAAAGACTCTGCGTGACTCGCAAGTCAGTGGCCAGGTCATAAAGGCAATAAAGGCCAGACTGAGAAAAGGCGTTCAAAAAGCCATCATGTAATTAAGAAGTTCAACAGTCACCGTCATACGTCGAGAGTTACAGAGGCGCTATGATAACGGAGCACCGTGACAGAGTCTGACGGAGACTTTCCAAGGCCTGCTTTGAACGAACTAAGAATCTGCTTTAACTTCTCAGACCACCTCTCCCGGAGCCGCAGGCGCTGCGTCTGCGGCTGGGCCTGCCCACGTACCATCTTGGATCTCCCCTTTGCACTGCGCCAGGTAGATGACCTCGGTCCAGGCCGTCGGCAGGTGCACGTGCTTCCCCAAGCCCAGCGCCTTCAGCCCCAGCCTCCTCTGCGACGGGAAACAGGAAATCAGCAAACGGAAGCTTATTTGTTTGCATTGCTGTTTCTTATTGATAGTCTGAAAGCCATTCTTCCATCACAATCGCTTTGCAATCAAAGTCGGAGGAAACTTCATAGTTTTCTCCTAAGGGGAATCTTCTCCCCAAATTATTTGACATTAAATTGTTTAGTTATAAACTTTAATTTAATTAACATTAAAGTAGCTGTCTATACTCACATCTTTCTTTCTTTCTTTCTTTCTTTCTTTCTTTCTTTCTTTCTGTATTATACAACAGGTAAGCATTGCCAACTAAATGCTTAGAAAATGAACTTACTCACCAGGTAAACCGGAGGCCAAGCCTTACCTTACAAATGAGAAGGAGTCTCCTAGCCTGTTCCAACAACACTTCCTTCTCTGCTGGATTCTTCGGGTTGTTGAATTTCAGTATGAACTCTTTGGTGATTGAAAACAATGGCCTGAGCAGAAAAACAGTAATGACAGCTATCATCTTCAGGTTTTAATTAATCGTCTTCTAGCGGGAGGATGTAACAGCGCTCCGGGAAAAGCACTTTACTTTCCTAATTACAGTGTTTCGCATACAAACAAGATTAGGAGCATCAAATATTCCTGAGTATATCACCTAGACACATTCTCTTGGTTTGAGAAACAAATTCTCATTCCCAGAGGTGTCTGTCTTGTGAAAAACATGCCGGAGATGGTTGCCAGCAGGCTTTTGGATGCTTTCTTCACAGGCAAAATCGGGCAGGGCTTCAGCTTTGCTGAAGGCTGATTTGTCTATCTCCTCACGTACATCAGTGCTGGCCCCGTTAGGGGGAATCCACACTCCCTCCGTGTGGATTCAGCGCGGCTGTGACTACAGAGGAGTGTCGAGGGGGGAGAGACGCATGGAGGAAAGTCAGCTGGGGTGCACGTAGCCATGGCGACGCTGCAGGAGGGGCTGCTATTGCAGGGCTTCTGCAAGGAGACAGGCAGGCTTTGGGGGGCCTCCCCAGCGCTGGTCGAGGGATGTGCTGAGAGCTGGAGCGCAGCAAGCGGAGCTCAGCCACAGGGAGAGCCGCACGTGTGCTCAACCAGAGCCGGGGACGGCTCAGGGCCGAAGAGCAGCCACAGTAGAGCGAGGGTGATCTGGATAATGCACACGACTTCCCCGGCACTGGCCGAAGAGTTATCCGTGGCTTGAAGGAGGGAGTCGGGGCCTAGCTGACCCGCTGAGAGGACAGGACTGCTACTTACTGAAGCAGGTCTCAGGACCTGCTTGAGGTGCGGAGTTGATGCGAGGGTAGAGAGTTAGTTCGGTCCTGGCCGTGCTTCGAGATGGCAACGGTCAGACAAACGGAGACGTAAGCACAGAGACCGCAACCTCAGGAGGTAGACTGGGTTAGACACGCCTGCTTCTGCACGTCAGGGCTTAGCCGCGCACAGAGCAGCCTTGTGCAGAAAGATGGGAAGCGAAGCGTTTGAGAGAGGAGTGGGAGGAGCGAGCTGAGGCCTCCTAAAGACGATGCGCACAGCATCAATGAACTGAGGGTGGCCGCCGGCTCGCCGCTGCTATCAGAACAACAGCGAAGTTTTGGAGGCTGAGGTGGGTGACTGAGTTAGAGGCCAGTCAGCATACTGAGATTTCCTGCCATCAACCTCAAAAAAAAAAAAAAAAAAAAAAATCAGGAAAATATTATGAAGCTGGTAAGCTCATGGAATTATACTTTTTGCAGTCAAATGCCTGTTAGAATTGTGTTACTAGGAAAGATTTGGGGAAATAGAAACACGTTTATTTATGGTTCGCTGTATTCAGAAGTTACTAAATTAATTGTTCTTTGGGGTGTAGGAAAATGAATAAACATCTGATTTTGGCACAGAATGAATTATAACCCTTCCAACAGAAAGATATGCCAAAAAAATAATGGCCATGCCACACAATCTCAGAATGACAAGACACTCTGAAAACTGTACAGAGAGCTTGGAGAATACTTACTGAACTAACCAATTCGTTCCCGCCATCCTGAGCATCCCCTGTATCAGGCACTGAAGGGCGCGCTCGGGACAGACGTGCACCCTTTCCCACGTGGGAGCATTCAGAACAATATGGGAAGAACTGGGGTGCTTGGACTTGAGGGGTCCCCAGAGCTGTGGTTGTTCAATGAGCAATTCCACATTTGACATTCTCCTCCCCATTCTACTTTGCGTTTATGAGAGACCTATTGGTTAGACATGGTGAAGACAGGCTAACAATTCTCTCCTTGCTGCTACTGGGGATGACAAAGGGGTTTTGTCCATTTTGCGCTTTAGTTTTCCTCAGGTTTTGTTTTGTTCTGTTATTTTAAATGTACTTGGAGAATCTACATGAAGAACCCAAAATTGGTTGTAACTTTCCATTGAGCGGCATTGGAGGTCAAGGTCATCCCTTTGTGACTTTTATGCTCTCGTTAGAAGTTAGTAGTTAACGTAGAAACATAAGCGTGTTGATGGCAAACCAAACCTCTACTGCTCCACCAACACTCCACACGGCTGCCTCACACCGCACCCATCAGGAGCAAGATTGATGGTTGATGCATACCTTCACATTCCTTTCCTAATGCCGACAGCATAAACCCACAACCTCCAGAATTCTTCACGGGTAACGAAAAGGAAAGTCTACAGCTGTAAATGCCTCCATTAAAAAAAAAAATTCAGCCAAGGATGATGATGCGTGGTCTTAATCCCAGCACTTGGGAGGCAAAGGTAGGTCATAGCAGGTTCCAGTCCAGCCAAAAAGAAGGAGGAGGAGCCCAAATTAATTATTTAATTGATTAGTTGATTGATTGATTTTTATATCTAAAGGTATAGAAGTAGAATGACCCATAACCTAACAGAAAAAGAAAATAGTAAAGACAGGAATGGCAATAAGTCAAATAGAGAAATAAACATAACTCAGAAATTTTGAGTGATTTTATAAAAATGAACACAACTAACAAACTCTTAGACTAGCCAGGAAAAAAAAGAGAACTCAAATAAATAGACTAGAATATAAAGAAGAGATTATTATGATAATTAAATATCAATAAGTTAACTACCAAAAAATGTGTAAATTCCTTAGAAACATACACACTACCAAAACTTAAGAAACAGAATCAAGAAGTAGAAAGACTGAACAGACCAATGACAAATAATGAGAAAAAATTCTTGATTAAAATGTTCCCAAGGAAAAAATGAGGCTCAGATGTCCTTATGAACAAAACAAACATTCCGAGACCGACAGAACTCTCTTTAACCCTTTAAAAATATAACAAAATGAACACTTTCTAACTCTTGCTATCCAAGCCACACAAATACTAAAAAAATAAAAATAAAAAATAAAACTGCAGGGCATTTTCCCTGGTATGCATAAATTTAATCAACTACTAGCAAACTTCATACCCAGACTCTCACATCCTCATTCTCCATTCTGCACTTCCACCTCAGCAAGCACCTCAGCAGGTCTTGGCTCTTTTCCAAGCGGAGTGACCCACACCTCTATTCCTGAAAGGTCTGTGTCCTCTGCCACCCTGCCTGGATGCATTTGTTGTAGTTTCGCTGACTGTAATCACAGGACATGGCAGCACTGAGAGGCATCCTAACGGAACTCCTGCTCTCTGCTCACAACCTTTCTTCACTCCACCACAGAGAAGTAATACAATGTCTCCTTGGCAATCTGGGTCAGTCACCCCTCCTAACACTGTTACTCCACTCTTGGCCTGTTGGTTTAAAGGCATCAGAAGCCCAAAGTGGCCAGGGGGGAGTCTGCCCTCCCAATTCAATACAGTGTTTCTTGTGGCCCCTGGCAGGACCCCTCTGCACTCTGCAACTAAAACTTCTATGAGAGCAGAACTTAAAGTCACAGAAAAGTAAGCAAAATTTTTCTGAGTGGGCTACTAGGGGTGATAGTTCCACTATCCCCTTTTCTACCATGAACCTAGCAAAGAGATACTTATGTGTCCATATTTATGGTGGCACAATTCTCATAGCTAAGATATGTAACCAGCCTAGTGCCCATAAATAATGATGATATGATACATACACACACACACACACAAAAAAAAAAAAAAAAAAACAACTGAAGAACATCATGTTAAGTGAAAAAAGCCAGTCATGAAAGTACAAGTAGTGTATATTGTCTCTCACATGTGGACCCTGAAAAGTTAAACTGAGTTCAGAATTCTGATTCGTGGAAGTTGACAATAAAGGAAAGGAAGGGTGGCTATGTGGATATGGGAAGGTTGGATTTAATCGGTACATTTGGTAGGAGTCTACCGGAACATCACAGTGGTTACTCTCTCCACTTAAAGCCCTCTCTTACCTCCCTCCTATCCCTACCACTCCCCACATGTCCTCTGCCAGGGTTTATAATTTTTACTTTTGTTGTGTGACCCATTTGATTTAATTGGGGCCATTTCTGTGACTATTGGACTGGAACTCTCTGCTGGAGCTTGATAGAGTCAGCAATCAATACACAACCGAAAGCAATGACTCTTTCTTGCCCTGAATCTATCTATCAACAGCCAGATGAGGATGGAGGAAGGACAGATTCAGGGCAAGGAAGAGTCGTTACTTTAGGGGGAGAGAGTAAGAGGAATGCATTATATACATGTATGAAACTGTCAAAAAAAACCTAATTTAATAATAGAAGGAAAGAAGGAAGAAAAAAGGAAGAAAGAAAGAGAAAGGAAAAAAGGAAGAAGAGGAAGAAAGGAAGAAAGAAAGAAAGAAAGAAAGAAAGAAAGAAAGAAAGAAAAGGGAGGGAGGGAGGGAGGGAGGGAGGGAGGGAGGAAGGAAGGAAGGAAGGAAGGAAGGAAGGAAGGGAGGAAGGAAGACGTCTGTCAAGCACTGTTACTGAAAACAACACATACTTGAGTCATAGAACATGGAGAAATCAAGCCGGTACTCCCTGAGAGCTCGATCCCTACTGGCCAGCTTTCACAGTGCTGGAAGCGCACTGCAGGCTGCCAAAGAGAAGAGGTAATTACCAGTCTCAGCCAGCTGTGACCCTATCGAGCTACAGCAATGACAGGCTTGGCAAGACGTGCTCACTGGTGCCATGGCAGCATGGACATCAAGGAAGTAGCCAACCATTCCCTGGTTGGATTTAATTGCTAATCCACATGATGAAAACCAGATTTTACACTATTATTGGGCCAAGGCCCTGAGCCTAGACAGGTCACAGGACCTGGGGATGATGCTACTATTCTTATTCTTATTCTCCTAAATGCTCATAGTATTAAGGCAAGTCCTAATGACTTATTGTTCTATCCATAAGATAATGCACTTCTCAACGCTCATCAGAAAAGCTTCTTTTAGCAATATATGGTGATGACACAGAAGACCACAACCCACCCAAGTGCAGAGCGCTCAGCCCTAAGCGGGGCATCTTTATCAGGCCCCCAACAAAGGCTCAGTGATCACTGTAAGATGAGGTAACAAGATTGTGTCAGGAGATGGACGCAGCAAGACAGCTAAGCAGAGGAGCTCACAATGGCAGTGACGACACATAGAATACTGTGCAGGCTCACACTGGCAGGAGGATGTGAGCAGCATAAATTTGAGAGAGAGAGAGAGAGAGAGAGAGAGAGAGAACACAAAGTTGGCTGTAGAGAAAAGGAATGGTCCTGGGGGAGTTCGGAGAGGGGTGTATATGATCGACACACATTGCACGAAATTCTCAAAGAAATAATACAAATAAGAAAAAATAAAATACAGGTGCTCAAATGCATAAATCCTTCTCCTTTAAAAAAGGAAGGGGTGATTTATACAAACTGAACAGCACATTGATAATTAGCTTAATTAGCTTTAACCGCTTGCTCACTGCTTGCAGATAGCTTGCCTTACTTTAACATTTCTCATTGCTACGCAAAGTGTGGGCACACACCGAATTTCCCTATGTAGAGATTATTACGTTCTTCATTTAT